GACCAGTGCTGTTTCTGGTATTTGTGAACGACATGACGGAAGGAATAGACTCTGAGGTGTCCCTGTTTGCAGATGACGTGAAGTTGATGAGAAGAATAAACTCGATCGAAGACCAGGCAGAACTACAAAGGGAGCTGGACAGGCTGCAGACCTGGTCCAGCAATTGGCTCCTGGAGTTCAATCCCACCAAGTGCAAAGTCATGAAGATTGGGGAAGGGCAAAGAAGGCCGCAGACGGAGTACAGTCTAGGGGGTCAGAGACTACAAACCTCACTCAAGGAAAAAGATCTTGGGGTTTGTATAACACCAGGCACATCTCCTGAAGCGCACATCAACCAAATAACTGCTGCAGCATATGGGCGCCTAGCAAACCTCAGAACAGCATTCCGACATCTTAATAAGGAATCGTTCAGGACCCTGTACACCGTTACGTTAGGCCCATATTGGAGTATGCGGCACCAGTTTGGAACCCACACCTAGCCAAGCACGTAAAGAAACTAGAGAAAGTGCAAAGGTTTGCAACAGGACTAGTCCCAGAGCTAAGAGGTATGTCCTACGAGGAGAGGTTAAGGAAATCAACCTGACGACACTGGAGGACAGGAGAGATAGGGGGGACATGATAACGACATACAAAATACTGAGAGGAATTGACAAGGTGGACAAAGACAGGATGTTCCAGAGATTGGACACAGTAACAAGGGGACACAGTTGGAAGGTGAAGACACAGATGAATCACAGGGATGTTAGGAAGTATTCTTCAACCACAGAGTAGTCAGTAAGTGGAATAGTTTGGGAAGCGATGTAGTGGAGGCAGGATCCATACATAGCTTTAAGCAGAGGTATGATAAAGCTCACGGCTCAGGGAGAGTGACCTAGTAGCGATCAGTGAAGAGGCGGGGCCAGGAGCTTGGGCTCGACCCCTGCAACCTCAATAGGTGAGTACAAATAGGTGAGTACAACACACACACACACACAACAACATACTACACACACACTATACATAATATATACAAATCACACAACAAACTAACATACACACTACACAACTACACAATACTACACACTAACATATATATATATATATATTATATATATATATATAATATATATATATATATTATATATATATTATATATATATATATATGCTTTACAAGGTAAACTTTAACCGGAATAAGATTTTTACGTTGTGTGTTCATATTTAGGAGCTTATTTGCTGAGCTGTTAAACATCGCCACAAATGAATTACAAAGGCAGGTGTTGGCAGGGATTATAGAGCGACTCGACGCAGCTCAGACCTTGTAAACACTGCCTGTATTTACCTTCTTCAGGCAGTGTTGCCGCTGCTCGGCGTCTGAATGCACAGGGAATACCCTTCAGCAGGGAAGAGGATAGAGGAGATGGGGGACTAGACGCTGGTGACGGGCTCCTGATCAAAGGATTAGAATATATCCCTACCCTTCTATGGATCTAATCCTATTACAACCCATTCTACAATTCCTAGTTGGACCCTACCATTTAAGCTCTTCCCAAGAATACTACTACTACTACTAATAATAATTATTATTATATTAATAATAATAATAATAATAATAATAATAATAATAATCATAATTTTAACAATAATAATAATTATGTATTCTTAAAAAGTCACAATATAGCAGCAGCAGTAATTGAATGACGATGAGCAACAATGACTTCTATACTTCTATGACAAATATATGTATATACATATATATATATAAATATATATATATATATATATATATTATATATATATATATATATATATATATATATACTTAATTGATTACAATTATATTCTTGAGCTGAGCCCTAGTTATTTATCAGCATTAGGGAAGATACGCTGTGGAGGTTTGAGTCATAGTGGAATAAACGATCACAGTACAGCAGCGCCATCATGCGAAATAGATTATGCAAATCTTGATGAATCTTAACGACAGTGAAAATCTAAAAGGCACCATTTATCAACATTAAGGAAGACGTTCTCTCGGGAACCTGTGGTGGTAGTGTCGCTCAGCCGGATGAGTGAGTGATCGCTAGACCGGATGCGAGAAATCAGCAGCCGGCTGACTGAAGTCAGGAGCCGAATGAGTAATAGCAGCCGGGTGCGTGACAAATTTCCATCCAGTTGAGAAAGATCATAGTTAAAGTAAGAGACTTCGAAAATTAATCACTAATGGTCTACTGGAAAGATGGATGAACGTGGAATTTTATAGTGCATAATTGTTCTCAGCTGATATTGACCTTCCGAGGTTTCTAGACTGATAATTTCAAGGAGAGAACCCTCTAAAAAACCATACCCCCGGCCGGGATTGAACCCGCGGTCATAGAGTCTTAAAACTCCAGCCCGTCGCGTTAGCCACTAGACCAGCTAGCCACAATAAGATTCATCCAACTAGGTATATTTCTACACCATAGGAAGGTTAGCACAGGCACCTTTGTGACCACAAATGCAAGTTTTTACAGACGAATCTCCAGCTAGCGTGGCCGTGACGAACTCTAGCTCAAGTCCCTTCACTGCCGTCAACATGACTCAAGAAATCGTAATGGTTTGTTTGCAATCGTGTCATTACGATTTCTTGAGTCATGAGAACCCTCTCTTTCCTGAGGAAACTGAGAACCCCAGAAAGGCTTCCCAGGTGGTAGCCGATCACAACCACTGTGAAATAATAGCGAAATTCCAAGCGATTTCGTGACTTCACACATTATCTAGGAACTATTAAAAACAAAACATCAACAGAAAGGCATATAAAGGGGCAAGACTACGTCTCACAATCACGTCACCACAAAAAAATTAAACCTCAGAGTAGCGTGACAACACCCGACTCTGTGAAACACACCTGAAGCTCTACCCAAGCATTAAGATTTTTTACTTGTCTAATGTATCATTAAATTTTTCCAAAATTTTATTAATTAAAATGAATCCAATTTATATAAACCAAAAGAAATATTCATATTTTCAAAACTGCTGTTTATGAAACATGATTTATTATATTCCTGTCGACCATAAACTTGCTTGATACAACTTTCTCAGTCTTATGAAAATCAATTGGATGATTAAAATCTCTCACAAGAATAAATAGAGCTTTAGAATCTTGTCCAGTTCTAATGCTATATTTATGTCGTTTTAATCTTAGTTCAAGACTTTTACCAGTTTGACCGTAATAAACTTTACCGCATATTTTACAAGGAATCTTAGACACATCCGTCATCATTTTGATGGGAATTTTTTTATAAATTTTTTTTTACTGTATCAAGATTTTTAAATACAACTTTAATATTAAAAGTTCTAAGAAGAGAAGGCATATCAACCAAGTTTTCATGGTAAGGGAGAACCAACATATGCAACATAGCAAAAGAAATTTACCTTCTCGTCCTCTTTTGAAAACTAAACTGTGACGGTAGCACAGTGCAGTGAAGGCTTCACTGAACAAAAGTTTTCATATCTGCTTCAAAAATCTTCACAGCCTCAGCTTTATCTATGTCACAATAACGTGTCGCAGCTTCACAACTAGTGAGCGCATGAGCTGATAGCAGCTGTGAAACTATGTATTCTTATCATGAGAAACTGTATTTCTACTCATGGTAGCGACAAAGATTACTCATACCCTGATGCTCAGTTTAATTTTTACTGTTAAGATATTTCACAAGATTCGCAACAAGGCTTTTTGCACTACCCTTGCTTGGCCAATGAACTGCCCAAAGACCGTCATAAACATTTATGACAATGGCATCAGGCCGCCCTGCTGATTTAGCAATTCGAATATCTCTCATCTTTTAGTCAGACACTGAAGTTGCAGCGGGTACTAGTTCACAGCTCATTTTATTCTTTACATTAATATCATAAGAGCTGATGAGATAGACCAGGAGACCTGGAGAACAAGAAAACACTAATATGTTATCGTATTTCATCAAAAGACTTTCTTCCAACATTCTTTACTACCATGGGATAAATAACATCCGTACATCTCACTTGAAGTTTACGTTAGGTTAGGTACAGTTCGTAAGGGTAAAGGACAAGCATTTTCTGACGCAAGTCTTAGTCATAAGATGACCCGTAGCTGGAGCTTATGGTCGTATGACCGAGGCTTTCAACTGGCTTACAGGTCAACCCCTTTAAAATAGTTATATTCATTCACTTGAAGTCCAGATCTTTTATCACTGCCATTGTCCTTTGAAATCTTATCGAATGCTGAATCATTCATTATATCTGGTGTCACCTCCATTAGCTTGTTTTATTCTCCTAGAAGTGAATCTCTTGACAGAAGCCACGTACTGTAAGCAAATCACTGACAATACCTTATAATCCTACCTGACGTTGGTTTATCCAGGCAACCTTTTTACTAGAAACTTTAAAAATCGACATTTTGAGGGAGAACTTGGTTCCTCGGCTTGCTTGTCAAGGGTTATGTGGGTTATGTTCAAGTGATCATGCCTCCCCACGGAACAGACATTGCCATTTATAATTCAGTAATTTAACAGTCGAGCGACATGGACGTGAAAGAGTTCAGAAGTGTTTGTTTCGTCAGAGCGAATAAATATCCGTTTGCTGGAAATAGTTATTTCTTATATAGTTCTTCGTATAAGAGAACAAATATGCTTTTTTCCTACGAGTAAGAAAAAATGTTAAGTAAAAGGACACAAATACACCTAATGTGACAATTTATTGTAGCAACGTTTCACTCTCCAGGAGATTTGTCAAGCCGTTGCCATTTACCATTGACCATTCAGTTGTTGGAGAGCGAAACGTTGCCACAGTAAAATGTCTCATTAGTTGCAGTTGTGTCCTTGTACTTAACATATTGTTGATAATTCTACCCACATTATTACGAGTATGAAAAGTCAATCACAAATAACTGTTGTACGGAGCAAACAATTCTAGATATAATTCGAAAGTAGGCATACACACATGACTACCTGGTGTGTGATGTGTGTATGTAAGTGGGGGGGGAAGAGTGGATCGTACACACGTACATACCTTGTGCTTGTCGATGTGTATGTGTCTAAGGTGGGGGTCGTATACAAGTTTATCCGGCTCGATGTTTATAGGTGACTGCCGACGACCTCTCTCACACATGTTCCAGTTAGGGTTGATGAGGCCCCAGAAATCAGGAC